TTAAATTAGCGTAATTGGTGTTATGTAGATAAAGAAGAAAAAAAGGAAAAATATCAAAATGGACCATCTGATGGGCCTAAAAGTTTTTGATGGGTTTAACTTGTAATTCTAGTAGAGCAGCCCAACCCTAAGGATCAATCAAAGCTGGCTTGGGTTGCGGAGGTAACCAAAAGGCGTGTTTGGGCAGGCTCGTCCAATCCTATCGAAATGACATGAATGCTCTATCACATACGATGCTACCTTCAATGTCTTAATAAATCTAAACGTTGATCTATACAAACGAGGCATATATCAATGTTGAAATGCCACGAGAAACACTTTAGGAATAAAAGATTTTACTTGTTTTGAAATTCTTTGGCCAATCTAAAATAGTGGAAACTCTCTATTGCAAATCTCCCGAGGTGAATCCCGAGGGATTAAACTGGCGGGCAAGTATAACTCTATTGCATGGTGGCACTTACGCTTCGTAATGGGCTCTCCCAAGTCTTACCACAACTTGATTTCTCATTTATGAGATAAGGACACCAAAAGCATCATAACTTTCATACAGTACTCACTTGAGTATCATAACTTATTTTTTTCAATCACTTGAGTGTCATGACTTCTAAATAATGTTCACTTGCGTGTTATAACTTTCAATCAATTATTTGAGTGTCATAAACTTTTAAAAAAACTTCCATCAAGCCACATTGGATTTCCAAGACTTGCGGTGAACGTCTTAAAATATTATGGGATTATCATCTCCTCTAAATCCAAAACTGACCTTGAATTTCATTATTAGGAACATCATCTAGCTATCATGCTCCCCAAGAAAATGGAAGCATGATATATGATAAGAATTAATAGACAAGGGCTCCTAAAGCGCTCGGTATTGAAATGATCCACATGTCAATTTTCAATGGTTGGAATTAAGGACTTCGTAATCTGCCAGCCACAGAAGGGCATGACATCTCCCGTGTGATTGCGATTGAACTACTCCTTAGAATGGTGAAACACGCCAGAGCCTTCCTAGAGGAGCGATTCTGACGTTTCCATTGATCCAATCTAATTGTCGCCTGCGAAATAATATCGTTCTGAATGAAATTAAATGAATTTATAATGTTTGATATGTGAAAATTCTGTTCGATTAAATAGGGAAACTTCAAAAGCCGATTTTTCTCATTTCAATGAAAGTGTTTCATAAGCTCTATTTCATCGATATAATAAATAGAGGCCATTGTAATGTAAAATATGAATGAGAGACCTATCATACTAAGTCGGATATTCTATTACACTTCGGATTGTGCATGATGCTATCTTTGGCATCCGCATTTCCTTTGACCTTTTATATATGGGAATAAAAAGTTAGGGGAAAGAACATAAAGAAGTATAGTGGAGGAAAGGAAGAAAGGAAGAGAGAGAGAGAGAGAGAGATTTTTGTTGAAAAAAAAAGGAAAATTAAAAGAAGATAAGAGAATGGAGGAAATGTTGCTTTCGAAAAAATTTAAAAACTGTCTTTTTTATTTTTTATTTTTTACTTCGTTATCTCCAAATATTTCCTATTAATTTCGGAATTTGGACTAGAACCTCATCACTCTCGTTCAAAAGTAGATAGAAAGGAGATGATAGGTCGAAAGGAAAAATCTAGTAACGGAGCAAAAGTTGACCCAACCCAATTTAAGATTCAATAAAAGCTGGCTAGGGTGGTTGAGGTAATGAAGAGCAAATATAAACAGGCTTATCGAGTCCTTTTGAAATGACATGTATCTTTAATATAGTAATAGACTATATTGGATGTAGCTGGATATTCACGTGAGTCATGCTCCACTCCATTCATTGACCGCCATGTGCCTGCTCACCTTCAGTCTCTTCGTCTCTCTCTTTTGCGCCTTACATTTCTCCTCCTCTTCTTCTTCTTCCTTTCTTCCTTTCAGCCATTGCCATTTTCAATAGCCATGCCCCACGAAGGCCCCACCACCAGCCACCGCAACCTCATGCTGGCCTTGCCCAACTGTGAATTGGATTTGTTTTCTTTCTTGCCTTGTGGAGTTAAGGGAGGGGTTATATTGAGTTTCTTCCTATTGGGATTTTGCTTGTTCTGATTCTGAATTGGTGAGAAAAATCCGACTTTCATCAGGCGTTTTAGATGATTGTGGAATTAAAAGGGAGGTTTTGATGCGCATTTTGATTTCTTCATTGGATGGTGATTCCCTCTCCGAATATTTAGTTCAACTTATAAAATTGACTTTGCCATACTAGTTTGACTTTGATTTGAGTTTTAATACATCTTTTTGCTAGAAACAATTTTTCTCCATATGAAGCCATTGGAAGATAATCATAACTTGTCTTGTGTGCCACCTGAAGTTATTTTATAAGAAGTTACCTAATTGTATGAGCTAACTACGCATATATATTATCGGAAAGTCACTAATTGTGAAAAAAAAAATTCCGCTACGTGAGACATGAATACGGAAGAAGGGCGTTGAGTTCTAAAAAGGATCTCAAGTATGAAATTTAGATTATCTCAACGGTAAAAAAAATTGTGAAGTCCGTACCAAAATCACATTAAATGCCCTCGATTCAATATGCGGATGGCGTGCATGCAATTCGATTCCCACGTTTTTCATGGGACGTACCTAAACATTTTTTGTCTTTACCTGGATCACAAAAAGTGACGCCCTCAAACATTTTTCCCATATTAATACCAAAAAGTGACACCCCCAAACATTTTTCCCATATTAATTTGATTGGTTGGAATTAATCGCTTTCGTATGAAGTCAACATCTTTTATGAGATTTTTGTGTTTACTGTTGATTAATTATAGCAGTCATAACACCCATCTGCGTATGACCGAGTTGGTGGGCGCTTTTCTTCCCTCCTCAGAGGTTCTGGGTTCGAATCCCCGCTCGGTTCCGTAATTTAAGTGGGGGGCCCTGGGGTGGGTTGCTGAGTTAGTCTCCCTCAAGATATAGGCGCCCCGATTACCTGTGCGGGCTCGTCCCTGGGGAATGGTGACGGATCCTCGATTACCAAAAAAAAAAAATTATAGCAATCATAACATATCCAAGTACTTATCCATTAGGGTTTGTTGTAAAATTAATGCAGAAACTAACCGGATCTTGCGATCAAAATCAGCACGAAATCACCATAGAAATAAACGAGGAACAATAATACCAGATGTTTACGTGATTAGATCCGAGTATCGGTAGTGTTTACCAATAAAACAACTCAATTAGACGTAAAACTCCTTGTTCGTCCCCCTTTCTTTCTTCACCGTCCGTTTTGGGAGTCCACTGTGTGGCTTTATTGCGGCATAATAGGAAGACCTTTTCTATTTCTTTTATGGGGCTTAAAATCAAGTTAAAATTAAACCCTTCTCTTTAGTCTTTATACGGCCAATCAACAGCGGCGTCACTTGGACGGCCTTCAAAGGAGTCAATCTCTTCGTTGATATTCTTGGATATTTTACATAATTGTCACCGCTCCAAAAAAAATTAGATAAAATAAGAAAAATGTTTATATAATTGTCATTAATCTATTGTGAGAATAACAATATATTTTGGGCCACAAAAAAAATAATCAAAAATTATTATGAGATCCACTCCTTCAAGAATTTATGGCTCGCAACATGCTGTTATCTAACAGTTGCCTAAAAACCGTTATGCTAGCAAAACCCAATAAATAAAGTCACGACCCTTATCTTGGTTGAACTCCCATATCATGACTCCAATAGGTATTCAGTCAAGAATTCTAGTCCACCTCATCTGATTTGGATCGGATCTCATACACGAGCTCAAACTCGAAACGTTTTTTAAAATAGCTCATAAGCTATTATAATGTATCCAAATTCTTCTCAATTGAGGCTCATTAACGCTCGCAGTCAATTAAGCTTAGGTGATATGAAACTAAAGAAATAAAAAATAAAACCCACACTAATATTTAGTGTAACTTAGAAACTGGACTTTGCCTCTATAGTTTGACTTTGATTTGAGTTCTAATATATCTTTTTGTTTAAATTAATTTGATTTTTAAATTTCACACAAGATGTTTACGACCTGTCTTGTGTGCCATCTGAAGTTAATTGATGAAAAGTAATATGATTGTCATGAGCTAACCGCAGGGATAATTATCCAAAAAGTCATAAACCTATTGCATGGTAGCCAATTCGTCCTAAATCTTTCAATTGTGTCAATTTAATCCTAAAAATTTTGATGATTTGCCAAATCTAGTCCTAAACCTTTCAATTTATCAATTTAGTCCCAAACTTTTTAAAAAATTGTCAATTTAGTCCTAAATATATTATTTGGATAATTGGTCAGAATAACTACATTGGCAAATCGTCAAAAAGTTTAAAACTAAATTAGCATAATTAAAAGATTTAGGACTGAATTGACAATCATACGATAGGTTTATAACTTTTTAGAAAATTTTCCCCCATAGATATCATAGGAACGTTACTCATTGTGAAATTCTTTTTTTTTCCCTATAGGAGATGTATATACATATATATATGTATATGTATATATACATGTATATGTATAAAAGAAGGGCATCGAGTACTAAAATTGAGACCTCAAATAAGAAATTTGGCATATCCCAAACGTACGAGGTACAAATTATTACCAAGTGTCGCATCAAATATCAAATATGCGAAGTTCATGCCTCAATTGCTATGCATGTGCTCAATTCAAACGAGCCTTTTAATTTAGGGCAGACACCCGTGAGATTCATCGTATTCAAAGGCTCGTGCTCGGTCGCGAGACCTCGTGCTATGCGTGCACGCAATTCATATCCTACGGCTTCCACGGGACATGCTCAAACTGGTTTTGTCTTTACCTCGTGCACAAAAAGTGAGTTATATATACATGGTCTGTCCGGTGATACCTCTTCAACTTGAAGCATTGGGCTTGGAAAACCGCAAACTTCATACACTCTTCCCACTCTCGCTCTCTCTCTCTCTCTCTCTCTCTCTCTCTCTCTCTCTCTCTCTCTCTCTCTCTCTCTCTCTCTCTCTCTCTCTCCATGAATTCTCCACTCCTCTCACCTTGTGGAACCTCTGAAACTTGCCGAACCATGTTACCCTCGCCACCCCCACTGCAGCCGGACGAGACCAAGTGGATCGTGCAAGTCGACAAGATCCTCAAGCGCATGCCCTCCGACGGGCAACTGCCCTGGAAGAATCCGTCCATCTACAAGGTCCCCGCCTTCATCACCGACCTCAACTACAAGGCCTACCAGCCGCAGGTTGTCTCTTTCGGCCCCTACCACTATGGCGAGGTCCACCTCCGCCAAATGGAGGAACACAAGCACCGCGTGCTCCTCCACTTCCTCGAGCGGTCCGGGAAGACCCTCAAGCGCTTCCTTTCCTCCCTGAGAAAGGTGGCGCGGGACCTCGAGGAGAGCTACGAAACGCTAGACCTGAAATGGAAGGAGGGCGGAGGGGGCCAGTTCCTGGAGCTGATGCTCATGGACGGCTGCTTCATGCTCGAGATCATGAGGACCACGATAGAGGAGAAGCATGGCTATGCGCCCAACGACCCCCTCTTCAGCATCGACAGGCTAAAATACATACGGCCGTTCATAACGCGGGACATGCTGATTCTGGAGAATCAGCTGCCGATGCTAGTGCTGTATGAGCTGGTCGCCATCGAGAGCGATTACAAGAAGGTTAGTTTCTTAGATTTCGTTCCGTCGTTAGAGAGGTTATTGCATGCACATAAACCGCCAAACTATGTTCACCTAACAGTACATCTTGCTAATCTCACATGAACCTCACATGGAATCCATCAAATCTAATGCTCTAAAAATGTTGGATGCACGGTTCGAGATCAATCGACAATTTCATTATTAAATCTATCACTGAGAGAAATTGTAATTTTGCTTGTATTGATCATCGTTAGTACTAATATATTTATAAGACATTGAAGGAAAAGGGAAAATTTACCAAATATCTCTTAACTAATTATAAGAGATATATCAAATATTGTTCTAGCTAATAAATCCTAACTAATGATAACTGATATATCAAATTTTAAACAAAAAGGAATGCCCAACTTGCTTATGAGAAATGTGAACCGATCTTGACCCAGCGCCTTGGTAAAAATGTTTGTCAGTTAAAGTCTAGTGGGTACGCGCTTGGTTCTAATGGCCCCCGACTATACATGTTCTTGAACAAAGTGGCAGTCATTCGCAATATGCTTTGTTCGTACGTGAAATACCAGGTTTTGTTGCTATGTGTAAAGCGGCTTGGTAATCGCAATAAAGATCCATTGGTTTGTCGTGCAATACCACAAGGAACGCAAGTAAGTGCGCAACCAAATCAATTCACTAGTGGCAATTGGCATAGCGCAATATTTAACTTCAGTAGAGTACTGAGAAACTGTGGTTTGCTTCTTGGTTCTCCAAGACACAGGACAATCACCGAGCATGACAAAGTAACACGTGATTGGATGTCGAATGATCGGGCAACTCGCCCACTCGGAATCACAAAAGGCGATCAAGTGAAATAAAGTTGGGACTAATAACAAAATCTCTTATCCTGGGTTTTTCTTGAGATATAGAAGAACTCGTATAGCGGCTTCCCACTGCTACTCCTTCGCTTCCTACATGAACTAGGAAAGTCGAGTGATATGATAAAAATTAACAAAGACGTATGTCTCTAATTTTTCCTTCATCAAATAAACCCAAATTGCCCAACTATAATTATCAACAGTACAAACTTTATACAAGGCATTGATTAACAGAAAAGGAAAAGGGAAAATCCACCATATATTTCTTAACTAATTATATGAGATATACCAAATATTATGCTGACTAATAAATCCTTACTTATGATAACATATACACTGTAAGGAAAGGAAATCTTTAGCAACTCTTTTCTAATAGTCACCTCTATGGGAGACTTTCTTTTTTCCTTTTGGGTTAATACCACGAAAAACCTCAAACTGGTACATCTATGATAAATTCATCCCAAATTAAATTTTTAACCATAAATAACCCCAAACCGGTACACCTGTGACAATTTTACCCTCAATTAGTTTCCGTTAAATTTTATGGTCAAATTTATGAGTTGAATGACACGTGACAGTTGACGGATGTACCAGTTTGGAGTTTTACTCTCCGTTTGTCACAAGTGTACCAGTTTATAATTTTTCGTAATATTAATCCAATTTAACTGATGGTAAAAAATTAATTTATGGTAAATTTATCACGTATATTAGTTTTTAAATTTTAATGGTCAAAAAATTTAATTTATGATAAATTTTTTACGTATATCAGTTTTGAATTTTCTGTGATTAAAAATTAATTTTAAATTTTTCGTGGTATTAATTACTTCTTTTGAGCAAGTACCATCGACACGACAACAATCTTGTATTCAATGCGCTGACTTGACTCCAACATCACAGGACGAGGAATACGTCAACATGCTCATCCTCAAGTACTGCTCTGGCAGGCCCATCCCAAGGATGGGCAAATGCCTGCATGTCCTGGACGTCTTCAGGAAGGGCCAGCTGATGATGAATACCAAGAAGGTCCAGCACGACCTGGAAAATGTGGGGCTTGGGGCCACCGAGGAGAACGCGGAGACAATCCCGTTGGCCAGGAGGGAGATAATCGGGTCGGCCATCCAGGAAACTGAGGAGATAATCGGGTTGGCCCCCAAGGAGACCGTGGAGATAATCCGGTCGGCCAACGAGCTCAACAAGACCGGGATCCAGTTCAAGACGAGCCAGACCCGCAGTCTCGAGGACATCTCCTTCACCAGAGGGGTCCTGAGGCTCCCCGTTATCAAGGTGGGGGACGACACCGAGTCCATGTTCCTCAACCTTATGACTTTCGAGCGCTTGCACATCGGGGCTGGGAACGAGATCACAGCCTACGTCACCTTCATGGACAACATCATCAACAGTGAGCTGGATGTCGCACTGCTCCACGCCCAAGGCATCATCCAGAATGCCCTCGGGAGCGACAAGGCTGTCGCCAAGCTATTCAACTCTCTGTGCGAGGGAGTGCCGCTCGCATCCAACAGCAGCCTTGACGCCGTGCAAAAGAACATCAGTAAGCACTGCAAGAAGCGCTGGAACAAGTGGAAGGCTAATCTCAACCGAGACTACTTCGGGAGTCCTTGGGCTATATTGTCTCTCATTGCCGCTATCCTCCTCTTCGTCCTCACCATAATTCAGACTGTATATGCCGTGCTCAGCTACATTTGAACCCTCCCGTTTCCTTCGTATAATAATTTCTTTTTTCCATTTTTAGGTTTTTCTTCTAGTGGCTGATGCTCGATAATTATCTATTGATTGGTTGTTGATTGTTGTCATGAATAATTGTCCTCCTGTTTTTAGTCGTGCTTATTTCCTTCTCTAAATGTTTTGAACGATGGACATTTGGCTGCTTTTGTATATCATTATCAGATGATTCTTTTGTTTCAGTCTACTTCATTATTCTCCAATTTGGATAGGTAGTCTGAAGGATGACAAAGTTTTGGGCAAATGAAATCTTCCACTGCAACATTTTCTTTTTGATTAAATTTTGTTGAAGTTGTGGCCAATTTATCCAGGAAAGCCAAGACTTATACAAGTTTTTAGATCTGTGGTGAGTAGTTATAGTTTGTGGTTCTAGCTAAGTCGGTGGGAGTTAGAAGTAATGGCTGAAAATCTGCCCGACATGTAAAATAAAGCAAATTTCTGTATTTCTGACAGAGATTCTTAGCAGAAGAGCCGATTAGGAAGGACTATAAAAAGGCTCCATGCTCGTTCATTCATGTTCAGATCAACTACAGCTCTATAAATCCCTTGAACCAAACATTCTGATAAGGGTTCTGCTTATACGATGGTACCGTTATTTGCTACAAATAACGGTGCTACAATGACCACAGAATCCCATTTATGAGGATTTGGCAACTGGAACTTGGGAAAATCAAAGAGATTTTTAGAGATATTGAAAAGCAAATTCATGTGGTATTAATATTTTATTATGAAATGACAAGATCCTGAAATATTGAGCTTAGAATTTTTTTTCTGTAGTTCCTTTTAATGGCATTAAAAATGTTTTCCCTTAGAATACTCTCAGCCAAATAACCAAAAAAAAAATTGCCTGGATTACATACTGGACAAAACTATCCTCACTTTTCAAATGAATAAAAATGCATGAACTTTTTACTTAAGTGGTGAAATAACCCACCGTTAAGTTTTTGATTTTTATGAATTTACTCAAATCATCGATTTGGAACGCTAACCTTTTGGTAAAAAAAACCTAGCTTCACTAACTGCCTCTTTCAATTTTGGGGTTACTAAATTTTTTTTTCCTATTTTCTCAGTGAAATAGACAAGTTGTTGATTATATAACTACAAATTTAAAATGTTTTGGAACGGTGCTGCTATTAATAGTAATCCTACATTTATTTTCTCTTGAGATAAAGATGTTTAGATAATTTTTTTTTGCACTTAATGCAAAGATATCTAACACTGATGATATAATAAGTTCCTTTTCTATTCCCTTATTGCTATTTTGGCTGATTTTTTTTTTTTTCTAATAGGAGAAATCCCCCTTGGTGGGATTTGTGATTTTCCCAAGGAACCGGGTAAACAAGTCACCCGGTTTCCTTGGGAAAATATGTGGCGTACCCACGACCGTTACTCTCACATGAGTAACAGTACCGTCCTGCTCTCATTTCCCTTTTGATAGAAGAACAAGCAGCTCCCAAAGCTCCTTCCTTGTTCCTTTGCCGAGCAAATTCCACAGGCATGCGCACTTGCACATTAACACCAAAAGCTAACGGTGGTATCAGAGCCTCATTCGGTTGGTGTTGGGCGTGAGTCCTATCCACATACTACTAAAATCACCCACCTAAATATCCGACTCCTAAACAATGGCCAACTCTATGTCACTATCATTCCTACTTTCGATGAAAATAACTACATCTACCGGAGCATTAAAATGACTACTTTCTTGATGGCACGAGATGTATGCAACATCATGGAGAAAGGATATGCTGCTCCGTGGGAAGGTACAAGCTTCGGGCAGAGCAACTACAAAAAAGCTGCAAGGGCTCTGTATGTCATATAACAAGCACCCTTGGAAACGATATTTTCGCAAACCATTGGAGCAAAGACCGCAAAGATGTGTTCTAAAATAAGGCGGAAGCCAAAGAATGTATGCAACTAAATGATGCGAGAGAACGAAATCACCAAAGAAATTAAACTAGGAATAATAAGGAAAGATTCACGGGAGTCGGCTCGACCATCAGCAGCCACTCCACGGGAAGAGCTAACCGCAAATAATCAATATGAGAATTACAGAGTGCACAACGTTCAAGTGTTTCACTATCCAAGATTACACTCAAATCCTTAGTGTTTGGTTTCGCATACTTGCTCAATAGATAAATCACTGAGAACTCGAAACACTCATGTCTTCACGAAGAAAATACCTCAATTGGATGTCTGCACAAACTTCACCCAATGCCCAATGTTCAGATCTCCTTTGCGCCTCCAGCGAATAGAGAACTCCACTTTAAGGCTCAGAGAAGTCAACAGCGCACACATAAATGGGATAAGTGTGGTTAAGATTTCATCCTCCAATCGGATCGGATTTTGTATACAGCTCAAACTCGTAAGATAATATAACAACATACTAAAGAAGAGTTCCAAGACACAACAAAGGCACGCACCATTAGATTTCAATCTCTTGGAAATGCTAAAATGAACAATTATGAGACCCTCAAACAATAATGTGGAAGATTAGAAGGACGAGTAAATCAAATGAGGGCTTATGGAGATTATATCAGGGTAGTAGAAAAAATATTTGCGACACTTATTAGAGAATACAATCCTATTGTCACCTCTATAGAAGAATCTAAGGGTTTAAAAGCCATGTTAGTGAGTGAATTAATTGGCTCTCTAGAGGCGTATGAAAAAACGACTAGTGCTACAAGATGAAGCTTCCATTGAAAGTGACTGTCAGTCTAAAATAAACACGCGGTCTCATAAATCTAGAGATGGTAGAAGAAGCTCGTGGAAAAATAAAAGAGTAGGAGAAATCTCTTCAAAGCAAAAAAAATCTACCCTGCGGTATTTGCAAGAAAAGAATCACTTAAAAAAAGATTGTTGATTTCTAGATACAGCCAATATGTTCAACGAAAGCCAAGTCGCAAACGTCAAGAAAAATGATACAAGCTACATTGATAGTAGTGTAGTAATCACACGCTAGGCGATGAACTATGTTCAACAATATTGATTCATCCGCGAATAGTTCATCAATATTGATACATCCGCGAACATGATGCACCTAGGGAGACTGGTGGACCTGTTATGCGATTTGATGAATCGGCGGGCTTGAAGTCAACGATGTCAGATTGAGCTCAAATTTGATCGGCTGAAATGAAACGGCGTGCTGATCAATACTCGTAGCCTTAACAATGGATTTTCGTAATTTAGGGTCGTTTAGATGGTTTTTTTAATTATTTTAGCAATTTTCGAATTAAGGGTATTTTTGTATTTTTTTTGCGTTTTTTTTGTCATTAGGGTTAACACCCTTTATAAACTCGTTTTTAGGGTTTTGAGAGGCGGTAGTTTTTTGGATGTTTTGAAATCGATTGTTAATCGATTGAGAGAACAGTTTCTTCCTCGTTATCTTTTCGATTCTTCTGTTTAGCCTAATTTCTATTGCGCTTCGGCATCAATTGGTATCAGAGCACAGGTTGCTTGAATCAATGGCTGAACAGAATCACGGTCGTAGAGGGCGGGCTCGTGGAGGCCGAGGGCGTGGAGGCGTTCTTGAAGCAGACGACCAACCGCGTCTAAGAGATCTGCGAGACGTAGAAATTAAAGAATAGAGAAGACGAATCCAGGATTTGGAGTGACAACTTGCGGAGGCGAGGTTGGGCGTTTAATCCGAAGAAGAAGTAGAATATGAGGATCCATCCGATGATGAAGAGGAGGATCCATCCGATGATGCAAGCAAGCGATGTTTTAAGTGTCAAGGACTCGGGCATTTTGTTGCTGATTGTCCGAACCGACAGTTTGTAACACTTGTAGATAATCCAACTTTTGATAAAGACCCAACTTATGATGAATCTGATGGAGAGCAAGCAGATGCAGATCCAGATCTAGAGGACATTGTCTATGCCGATTCTGGTGAGTCTTTAATTGTGCATCGGGTTTTAAATATTGCTGAGGTAGATGATGAATCGTGGCTCATGCATAATATCTTTCATACTCCTGTAACACCTCGGCTCTACACTGTGTAATATTATCCGCTTTGGGCCCACTGACCCTCACGGCTTTAAAACACGTTACACAGGATAGGCCACCTAGGCCTTATAAGCAACCCCAGGACTCCCCCCTAAGCGATGTGGGACAGAGACATGCCCCCCTTGCCATCCTAGAAGCCTGCTAGGAGCCGCTCCTTGTCCAAACTCTTGAACCCGGCGACCACTCCCGACCCTCATCGGATCGGGTTGTTACATTCTTTCCCCCTTCGGGCACAGCGTCCACGCTGTGGATCCACACACGGTCGGGAGTCGGCTCTGATACCACCTGTAACACCTCGGTTCTACACTGTGTAATATTATCCGCTTTGAGCCCACTGACTCTCACAGCTTTAAAACGCGTTACACAGGATAGGCCACCCAGGCCTTATAAGCAACCCCAGGACTCCCCCCTAAGCGATGTGGGATAGAGACATGCCCCTCTTACCATCCTAAAAGCCTGCCAGGAGCCGCTCCTTATCCAGGTTCTTGAACCCCAACAACCACTCTCCGTCCTCATCGGACCGGGTTGTTACATTATTGCTACCGAAGTGCGATAGAAATTAGGTTAAACAGAATAATCGAAACGATAACGAGGAACAAATTGTTCTCTCAATCGATTAACAATCGATTTTAAAACATCCAAAAAACTACCGCCTCTCAAAACCCTAAAAACAAGTTTATAAATGGTGTTAACCCTAATGACCAAAAAAACGCAAAAAAATACAAAAATACCCTTAATTCGAAAATTACTAAAATAATTGAAAAAAATCATCTAAACAACCCCGAATCGCGAAAATCCATCGTTAATCGTAGCCAAAGGCTACATGTATTGATAAGCACGCCGTTTCGCTTCAGCCGACCAAATTTGAGCTCAATCCAACATTGTTGACTTCAAACCCACCGATTCGTCTAATCGCATAACAGGTCAACCGGTCCCCCTAGGTGCATCATCCTCCCCTGCTAGAGAAAGATTCGTCCTCGAATTTGCTTCGCCTTCATTGTCGTCAATCTCTTCAGGATCTTCTTCCTCTTCAGTGTAGTAAGGTGATAAATCTGCTACATTAAAAGTTCCGGATACATTATACTTACCCGGCAAATTGATCTTGTAAGCATTGTCACTAATTCGCTCCAAAACTCTGAAGGGTCCATCAGCTCTAGGTTGAAGCTTGCTAAACCTACCC